AGAATGTTCAGTAGGCTTAGTATACGGTTAGCAGGAGGTATTTTTACTTTGAATTAACACATTTTTGTCTTTGCAATTCTTTTTTGTCATCTCTTATTGTTTTGATTTTTTTTTCCTCTGACAAATTGAAGAAATTTTACCATCGATTTTCAGCAAACGTCACTGCTTAGTCCACCTCCAAAATCGAGGCAGTTTAAACTTACGGTCAGTCCGCTTTCCTCATCAAGAAGTCCTACACCAACCAGATATGCGGCATCGATGCCACGTGAAGATAGTTCTAGAAGTACCACAAATAGTTCTCGCACATCTGTAAGTTTATGCCATTGTGGACTTTTCTACCAGAATATAGTTTATGAAGTTCATTCCGTGGAAAAATCCAGACTCTGTGCGCAATTCTTTTTAGTCTTTTTAGCGAATGATGTATATTCAAAAGACAACCGGACTGTTGAGAGGTTATTAAAATGCAGTAAATTATGCAATATTAAGAGTTTTAAAATGCAGTAAGTTATGAAATATTAAGAGTTCTGCTTTATTCATTCTTTATTTTTATCAAGATTATACTTTTCGTTTTCAGAAGACAGCATCGAATCGTTGTATATCACCTTTATCTGCTTCTATACTTGAATCTTTGTTAGAAGATTCTTTGACAACTATGCTGAAATTGGAACACAGTCAAGCGTTTGGTAGTCAAACGCTTGTGCTTCATGAAGAAGATAATAAATGCGCCGCCAATTCAGCCGCAATATCCACGGATAACTCATGGCAAAGCGATCAAAGTTACGATTTAAATAGAATTCCAATGGTAAGAAATTTTTTTTGTTTTTTGGAAATTTTATGTCTTTTAGCTTTAATCGCAATTTTTAAAATTTAGTAACACGGAGGAACACAAAACTCTTCAGCTCTCCCATATTATATATTTTTGTTAAATCGAGGATTAATTCTTTTCTTGTCCATTTTTTTTCTATTTTGTTTTTTGTTATATATAATTTTGATAGAAAAATCAATATTGAAAGACTCGTAAAAGTAGGTCAAGATATTCATCTGTTTCCTTATTCATAAGAATCCTAAAATGTTTGTCATGATATTTGTTTTGATATCTTTTCAGCCCGAAGATCTAATACCTGGCCTTGATTTGAGTGGTGTAAATAACGCAGAAGTAGAAGCAGTTACTGATGAGAATGATTTTCCTTCGAACTTGGAGGACAGCTCTGCAAAAATAAGGGATGTTCGACAGATCAAGTCACCAGAACCCGCACCATCATCACAGTTCAGGTTTCACGTCATTCATAATACAGGAAGATTCTCATATTCGTAGAAGCCATAGAGGTTTATGATTCTCCGGAATAATTAATTGGATCTTTTGAGATATTGAAAGATTTTAAGATTTTGCAGTATTTTCATACTTCTAGTCAGGTAATGGTACATCACTTATTTCAGATATTATCTAGGTGATGAAGAGTGGGTTATCGCAGAAATCCACTCAGTTAGTGAGAAGATATGGAATTTGATTAGTTCAAAACAGCCCTTAGAAGTACTGGTCAATGACAATCAAAGTGGGATTGCATCGCAGGAAGTACAAATAAGGTTAAAAATTTTCAGGCAATTTCTGCTACTTCAAAAGAAAGGAAGAAATTTCTTCTCTATTCCATAGATTGCCAAGTATTCCATATTTATCCTTATAAACTTTCACATTTACGTTCTCTTTTGTCATTTCTTCCACTTTTCTCTTTCCTACCTACTCAACTTGCTGGATTTGCACATTTATTGGTTGTTAGGATTTCATTTCGTTTTATAAATGATAATATCTCTTGCAACAAGCAGGAGTAAATAAATAATGTAGGCAAATGATCGCGGATCGATGCTGTGAAATTGCGCAACGTTGTTTCAAAGATGTTGGTCGCAGTCGATACATGGGACTAACAAATATTAATTGTTCCCGACCTCGAAATCTGTTGCATCTAAAAAGCATGCTTCAGAAACAACTTTCCAAATATTACGAAAGTTAGTCACATCTTGAAATCGATGAGAATTTAAAGAAAAATTTCTACAAAGAAAAAAAAGTTTCGAAAGCTGTCGAATCTGATATATGGAGTCGAAGTCAGTGTACAGTTGGATGTATATTAGCTCATGGAAATGGTTGAAATCATGGTTTTTTTTTTCGAATGACATATATACATTATTATCTCAAACGCGGTGCTATATAACTATTATATTAATTAACTTGATGTTTGCAATGGCAGAATTTTAATTATTTATTGTATTTTATTTAGGCAGCAAACGGGATGCAAAGGAAAAAAAGCGTTGGGAATTATTATCACGTGGCTGTAATTCCGATATCGAAAATATCGTTCTGGAAGAGCTTTATGCGGAACAGGATAGTTGGGAAGATGCATTGGAAAATTATGAAGATGAAATCAAAGCTGAGCTAGCTTCTGAATTATGGCATGAGCAGTTAGATGAATCGTTATCAGTTACCATTAATATTTGATGTTTACTATTAGTACTTGCATTCTATATGCAGAAAGTTTTACTTGTTTTCTGTAAGAAGATTTCTTACTGTGATCTTTTGGGTTGTTTGATCTTTGGTTCTCTGCCATTCAATGTACTTAAAAATGAACTTTTGAAGTTCATGCTATCCAGTAGTCATCAAGTTATCCTATTTAATCCATTCCGATCAAACTATTACTGGTTTATGTTAACTGAACTGAACTCAGCAAATACATAGTGACATCACCCTGCTTGTTTCTGATGTTGCCCACTGTATTTTAACATATCAAATCACGTTATTACTGCATCGCAAACAAGATATGTTTGTTGCGGATAATTTCGAAAACTTATGATGACAGTAATGTTATTGAAAATATTTCTAGCATTTTGACGAGAGTTTCACTTTTTTTAATCTTTTTTCGTCCTCTGTTTTTTTTTATGCTCATGAATTGACAATATGTCATATCAATATTCACATATTATTCATATCAGTGCACTGATTATTCTTATCACATTACTACCTGTCGTCATTCATGTACTAATTTTCCTCATCAGTGTATTGTTTATCCTCATCATTTTACTAATGCTCTTTCACTTCTTTGATAAGATATGTATTATTATTATTATTTTTCTTTAAAAATTGCATTTAGAATTTTACTTTCCTACTTGAACTTACTTGAAGTGTTATGCAATTTTTTTTGTTGGCAACAATACAAGTGTTATTTTTGTGTTAAGAAAAGATTCCCAAAGTTGAAATCATATTTACTGAAATGAATGGTGATTTGATCATTCGTGATTTTTGTTTTCCTTTTTTTTTAATTTCCAAAGTTATGTAACTAACTCGGCTGTTTTGCTTGAAAACGAACGTCTATATTATTGATTAGTATAGGAAAGGGAATAATTAATTAGTTTTTGGTTTAGAAAAAGAGAAAAGAAAAAACTTAGTTAATTTTTAGGCTTTATAAATAATTTCAAAATTGACGGTGATAAGTATATTGTAGAAATTTTAATTAATTTGTTAGTTGCTTTGTAGCAGGTAATAAATCAGGTATGAGTGAGTAATGATTTGCATAAATGATGCTATTCTTATGCGGAATATAGTACCGAACAAAAGATTTGTTACTGTTCAGCTTATTTCCAACTTTATGAAAATGGTGGCTTAAGAGATTTTGTTACATTTTCTAAATTTCTCTAAGAAGTTACTTGAATTATTTGAACTAAGCGGGATTTCTCTAAGATTTAAATTTAATTAGAGTAAGACTGCAGGGCGTATTTGGTATATCCAATGGCGCCATCAGAAAATGCGGAAAATGCAAATGATAACAGCAAAAATCAACGCGGAGCGTGTGAGGTTAATGGACTGTCATTTGTAATGAAGGATGAGCCAAGACGAGTGAGGTGTGTTGGTCGTTGTGATATGGAATTAGGTGATATCACTCATCACAATGTTGAGGTATTCATTAACAAATTATTTTTCTTTTTTTTTTCTTTTAAATTATTCTTAATCCATTTGTATGCTATGTAGGTTTGCTTCCAGGTTATTATTTAATATTCTGTAATCAAAAGCGATAGGATTATTTTTGGAGGAAAAAAAAAATTTGTTTATTTGTATTTTTTTTTATTTTTTTTTAGCAATGTTCTTATTTTAATTTGTAAAATTTTGTCTTTTTAAAGGAGTATGGCTTTGATAGAAATGTCTTAATTGTTTTTCTAAAACTTTGGATGAATTGAAAATCTACATTTTATATGTATGTTTAAATTGTGAAGCGTATTCGCTGCGAAATGTCAAAATTACAAGTCTAATTTTCCAAAGTTGTTCTTGTTCCTTTTCACTGAATGATAATGAGAATATGTGCATTGAATTTTGGAAATTTTCTTTTTATAAACCATCTTTTTTTCTTTTCAGCAATTGAAACGGCTTAATCAAGCGGTTTTTCCGGTAGCGTATAATGATAAATTTTATAAGGAAATCGTCACAGCGGGTGAATTAGCGAAGTTAGCTTATTTTAATGATATAGTTGTGGGTGGTGTTTGCTGCCGAATTGATACGCAAAGTGGAATACGTCGACTGTACATTATGACACTTGGAACTTTGGCACCTTACAGACGGTAAACTATTAAAGTTGATTATATATGCTTGTTCGATTGCTATAACCAAAATAGGTCACATTAAGAAAGAATGGATAACCTTTTATGTAATTATTACAAATTTTGGAAAAACTTATGCATAATTTTTGTGTAGCTTAGTGCACGCTATCAGTGGCTTAGAACGGCTCCCACAGTAATTAAATTTGATAAAAATTTCATATTTGTTTAATCTTATTAGTTATATTTCGGAAGTTTTGATAAATTTATGCATGGATAGTAAATATTGACCGATGTTTTTAAAAAATGTCATTTTACTTGCAGACTTGGGATTGGCACGATGTTGTTGGAACATGTTTTCACACTCTGCGATAAAGATCCGACAATTGAAAATATCTTTCTTCATGTGCAGGTTTCTCCCCAATTTTAATCTTTATTTTCCTTTAAACATTGCCTTCATAATTATTTTATTAAAAAGCGTTGGAAGTGTCTAGCTTTTAGACAGAAACTGATTAGGGACATTACGATTATATGATCTTTACAGGTTACAAATATTTTCCCTATTTTTTGCCTTAGATTTATGGAATGAATTATTTCTTATTGGTTGATTTAATATTCTTACTTTTTCTGTCCCTCTCAAAAGTTTTAAAATGTAGTTGTAAATGTAATTTATGAAGTTATTCAAATTTGTACTTCATTTTTTTTTCCAGATTAATAATGAGTCGGCATTGGATTTCTACAAGCGTTTCGGTTTTGAAGTTGTTGGAGTAGCAGAAAAATACTATAAAAGGATTGAACCAGACAGCGCTTATATTTTGGTAAAAAGAATTGAACGAGAAGTTCGCGAACATCTTCCGTAGATCAGCATTTTTCAGTGTTGCATTTTTATCTTTTTGCTCACAATTTGCTACAGCATCTGAGAAAAAAAGTATCGGATTTAATGCAGTCGGATTTGCGATATTTTATCATTCTTTTTTTACCACTTTGTTAATCAGCAACTTTTGGAGCACTATTTTCTGAAATTTATTAGCTGACTTAATTTCTCAGAATGCTTCCCGTTTGGGAGAGATCAAAGAGATATTTCTGTACTTCTTACTACTCCCTCCTCCTCTCTCTCTCTCTCTCTCTCAATATTATACTGATTCATTCGGTCATTAATTCTCCTTCTTCCAAAGAATTTTTACTTATATGAAAGCAAAAAGTTGTTTAATTCTTTGTTTTTTAATTCTTTATGATTTTATTTATATGGATGATAAGGCGTTAACTGTTGTACTAAGCTTATATTTACATCTAAAAATTCGGACTAACTAGAAATCAGGTGAAATTGGTGTGATAATATTGAAAGTAGCAGATGAACAAGAGTTAATAAATTTTTGCCATTTAATGTTGCAAAAATCAGGAAACTTCTGAATTAATTTGTCACCATATGTCGTGTTATTTGCTATTTATACATTTCAACACATACATACCTGATTGCTTACATAGTATAAAATTTTCATGTTATACTTAAACATTGTATGCTTACAACTAATATGATTACTTAAATAACATTACACGATTACTCATGATAACATTATACATGATATCATTCCTCTTCTTTTTAAGATCATTTTTTTTTTTTTGATCAAATGCTTTAATATAAAATAAAATGATAGGAATATTAAAGAAAAAAAATGAGAATCATAAAAAATTTAAATTGATTTATCAAATTTTCAAATTATTTGATCGGAAAATAATTTATTAAAATTTTCCTAGGATTTGAATAATTGCTAAAAATTGATGAATTATTATCTATAATTATAAAGTATAGATTAATGCAATTGGATTATTAGAATTGTTGCAATAATAATACATTATCGTCATTGGATAATTCAGACATTAATTATGGATTTTGTTGAAAGAAAAAAAAAAAAAACGAAAAAACTGCGAAGTAAATTTAATGACAATAACCTTTCTTTTATCAACTATAGTTAATGAAGGAATAAATGCAATTATTGTGATAACAATCACTGATATGATCAAATGAACAAATCGAATTTTTCTACTTAAAAAAATTTGATAGGTTATAAAATTAAAAAACATAAGTTAATTTGGAATAATTACTGTGTAACATAGTCGCTACTCATGTTAAATAATTTTTAGGGTCTATTTTTTTTTTTGTTTATTGTAATTTATGGCTCTCTGCTT